GTCCCCGAGGATCGACAGTGCAGAAGCAAAACAACTCCAACACACGCATTTACATGCATTACAAAAGATCAAAGTTTAAAAGCCGTGATTCCTCCACTCTCTCCTCTCGCAGATAAGACTACGCGGAGGAGATCAGACGGAAGTGTTGTGGCGATCAAAGAGAGGCAGGTAGAAAGAGGCAGAAACCATGAAACCTGAGCTGCTGAGAGAGAAGTCGTCTGAGTCGGGCTGGATTTGGATGCAGTAGTAAAATAATATAAAATAAGAACCCTGTATTCAAAGCCACATTGCTGAGAGTAGAGTGAATAAAAGTGTCAAAAGTCTAACGGTGCTCTATTACTTCCCTTAATTAGGTTAGCGTATAGCAGATTTCGTTAGGAGCTACTTACCGTTTGTTTTTCCTGCAAGATATAAAGACACAAGTCGAAAATCTGGCACTGTGACGTGTATCTGACAAAGATTAATGCACTCAGAAACATCTTGTCCTTCCTTTTAATGATATAAACGTTAAGGACACCCACAAAACTGCCTGGAAAAACCGTATCACATCCTCCGGCAAAGCTCTTATCGTCAGAAGTGTATCTCTTTAAATAGATGACCTCTAACTTTATAGCCTGGCACCTGTCCCAGAAAGCAGATGTGAGATTTAAAAAATCTGGATTTTTCTGTTGCAGATTTGATCAAATCCACATCACTGCCCTTGAGACATTGAAAATGGCAGGCTAATTAATTATGTCCAACCATGCATACAGTGTGTTGCATAGAATCTGATCATGCTTGCACCCAACAAGATAGAGGGCTAGAGGTTACATCCTACGGATAACATCCCTGTTACTCCAGTATGGAGGGTTAGAGGTTACATCCTACAGATAACATCCCTGTTACTCCAGTATGGAGGGTTAGAGGTTACATCCTACAGATAACATCCCTGTTGGTCCAGTATGGGGGGTTAAAGGTTACATCCTACAGATAACATCCCTGTTGGTCCAGTATGGGGGGGTTAAAGGTTACATCCTACAGATAACATCCCTGTTACTCCAGTATGGGGGGGTTAAAGGTTACATCCTACAGATAACATCCCTGTTGGTCCAGTATGGAGGGTTAAAGGTTACATCCTACAGATAATATCCCTGTTACTCCAGTATGGGGGGTTAAAGGTTACATCCTACAGATAATATCCCTGTTGGTCCAGTATGGGGGGTTAAAGGTTACATCCTACAGATAACATCCCTGTTACTCCAGTATGGGGGGTTAAAGGTTACATCCTACAGATAACATCCCTGTTGGTCCAGTATGGGGGGGTTAAAGGTTACATCCTACAGATAATATCCCTGTTGGTCCAGTATGGGGGGGCTAGATGTAACCTCCTGCAGGTAACGTCTCTGTTGGTTCAGTATGGGAGGGTGGGGTTGCTAGACCTTACATCCTACAGGTAACGTCCCTGTTATTCCAGGGTGAGGGTGTTCTCAGCTTGTTGTCACCGCAACTCCCACCAGAAAAAGCAGAAGGAAAATGAATGAAGTAATGAAAAAGATGATCATACTGTATGTGTAAAAAGCTTTGAATACGCTTTATTATGTTGTTGTTATTAAATGGTAACTATTGGTTCCATGGTGGAATAGTGGAGATTAGTATGCGGCGCTCTCATCTCCACGACCCCGGTTTGAATCCCGGTCAGGGAACCAACCCCAGCCCCTGGAGAGCGGCACGAGCCAGTGCACTCTTAGTGCCGGTTCTCAGCCTGGAAAATGGGGCAGGTTGTGTCAGGAAGGGCAAAAACACACGTGCCAGAATCAGACGGGTGATCCGCTGAGGGAGCAGCCGAAAGAGGGGGGAAAAATATTAACTATTATTAAACATCTTGCTTTGGAACAGCTTAGCAATATTGGATATTAGGTCTGCTTTCACTGTAAGAGTTTTTAAATCAAGCATCAAAACTTGATTAAACCTGAGAATACACCATACCGAAACTTTACATAGTCAATGTAATGGGCAACTTTGCACTTGTGTGTGTGTGTGATATAAATTTTGTGCACTGACATTATTATTTTAATATACAATGCCAGTCAAAAGTTTTTGCACCTCTGGTGTTTGTTTCATTACAGTATAATCCCCATTACGGACACAGACCAAACAAAATGATACAGAACAGCAGTTAAATAACAAAACCTAAGCCTCTGCGGACCTTATTAAGTGCTCGCTCTCGGATCATAATGCGACTCTAAATGAGTTCTTTATTAAAGGCAGGAGCATTCGGAGGGGAAAGCCGTTAAGCCTAAAGATAAAAGAGCCATAGTGTTAGTACTTACTGTAAAACTTAAACATTTGGTGCCTAATTAGAGTGAGAGAGATTTCTTCCATTAGATTAAATCTAGTTCCAATAAAATAATAAATAAATAAATAAATGAATGAAATGTAATTTCTAACATCTTCTTTCAGTTCACTAAACAAATTGATTTATGTCTATTCATTAGTTAGCATTGGAAAATGTAGACTATTTAAAATTATTTAAACAATAAAATAGACTGTTTACAATTAAAATATTTTTTAAATGTCAATTTTATATGTATAACTTTAAATTTTTATTATTTACAATTTTTACTTTTGTTTATTTATTTATTTATTTATTTCCTATATGTTTGTTCTTATTATTTTTTCCTAGTAAAATCAATAAACCTAAGGAAGAAGGACAAGATCAAATGTAACTGAATTTGTGGAATGTGTATGTGAAAGTACTCGGAGATGTTTTAAAGTATTCAAGTATACATCACAGAATGAAAGATTAATATATTATCAATGCCAAATAGAAATAATAGAAATAGAAATAATATTAAACAGAAAATACCATATGGGATCATCCACATGAACATCCTTCTTTTAATGGATGGCGTAAACGTTGCACTGGACGACAGCCTGAGGTTTCCATGTTACACAATTTTAACTCGTTTCAGCACGGAATTGAGCTTGAGCATTATGTTATTACAAGTGATAGCCTGGCAGATGTTTCCACTGCTTTGACCTTCTCTTGCCATCTGTGGTTCTGCTGAAGCTTCTGTGTCTGAGAGGAACTGACATTTTAACATTTAGCTAAACATCCCAGCTACATGCAGGCAGTGTAGCGCTTTCCAGAGTCACAGACCCCCATTTTAACCCACTCGAAAACCTAATAACCTTATTCATCTCACTGAGTTTCCCTACCACATCTACCTATCTCATTAACTAGCTACCTATCTCATTAACTAGCTACCTATCTCATTAACTAGCTGACTACCTATCTCATTAACTAGCTGACTACCTGTATAATTAACTAGCCGACTACCTATCTCATTAACTAGCTACCTATCTCATTAACTAGCCGACTGCCTATATCATTAACTAGCCGACTGCCTATCTCATTAACTAGCTGACTACCTGTATAATTAACTAGCTGATTGTCTATATAATTAACTAGTTGACCACCTATCTCATTAACTAGCTGATTGGCTATATAATTAGCCAGCTGACTACCTATCTCATTAACTAGCCAACTACCCATCTCATTAACTAGCCAACTATCTATCTCATCAGCTAGCTGAATAGCTATCTCATTAACTAGTCAATCTCCTATCTCCAACTATTAACTAGCTAGTGTTCTAATAAACTAGCTAAATTAGCTCTCTCATTATCTAGCAGGCAGAATTAAATAATGAAGGAAATCAGTTTTGTATAGATGGTGTAGGTAGCTACATATAACTCATTTTCAACGTTGGACACAATAGTACAATGATGCAGGTCATAGCTTAAGCTGTTGTAGTTTCCTGGTGAATTAATCAGAAGTAAAACATCCCATAAATAAACAATATTTAGCATTAGCTAGAATTTGACTTGCTGCTGGAATTGATGCTAGTCTAAGCTAGCATTAGCAAATAAAACAGGCTAACCTAGTTAACTATAGCCAGTTCATATTAGGACATTAGCAGATCTCACCCAAAAGCTTACCTTTCTAGGGAGGTAAATGGAGGGAGACCCTTCTTCGCTTGTAGCATAAACGCAGAAGAGAAGAACTTTTAGGAAGCTGGGAAACTTTATCCAAAGAACTCTTTGAAAGGCCACTTTTTTTAATTGCACCTGTACTGGGCCTTCATAACACATTTATAAGAATTGTGTGAATATTTTATGAAACAATACTAAAGAATTTATGTAAGGCCCAAGTTCTTATGAAGTATATCACTTTGTCTTTATATGAAAGAAAGAAGAGAGAAGAAGCTTTAATTACTATTGATTACTATTATGGCTTTATCTTACTGTATCTTACTTTACTTTATCTTAAAAAATTATTATTCCGTCTTCACCGTGAGCACTTTTATGAAGATTTGAGACATTTATTTCTTATAAAGTCTGCACCTGATCACTGTTCTTCTGCCGGGTGTCGTAACCGTCTCTACTTCTTATAGGAGCATGGAGGTGAGCGCTGTCTGCATTTGCATGCGAAACTATTATGAAGCACCATTTAATGCGTCATTTTGTAAAAGTTGCTTTATAAAAGTTGTATTACGTACTTAGACCTGTGCTATTAAGGTCCTATTTAGGTTCCCTTCAAAGAAATGCTTGCTATTTACATTGAAAGGTAGATCTAAAGCCCAAATGAATGATTCACATTTATAACACTCTTATGCAGCATTATGTAGCTCTCGTCTACAACTTCTCAAAGTGTAGCGTAACAGCGTACTAACTTAAAGAAAAGGATTTTTAAAAACTACAGTACAATCTAAGTCGATAATTAGAATTACTTTAATTTACTTAATTACTAATTATATAAAGACACACACAGGTCACATTATAAACCCTTATGTCATGTTGAGTTGTGACCAGTTCTCCATCAATGCTTTATAAAAGATTTATGCAATGCTTATGAATGTGTTATGTAGGAGAGAATTATTCGCCATTTCTATAGACAGTTACACTAAAACGATTAAAAATCGTATCTGGAAGAGGCTGAGAGGGCAGGAAAGAAGTCACTTGGTGGTGATGAGGGGAAAAAAAAAAAGGAGTGATGTAAGCTGATAGCGAATTCTGATTGGTCCTTCGGTAGCATTGAAGTCACGTCTACCAAATAAAGTCCTGCACAACTCGAATCGTCCCCAAGAAAATGGCAGAAAAACAGAAATTCAAATTTAACTGCGGGGAAAAAAAAAAAAAAAACTCGATCGTCCATGAATTTTCGATCAGTGGTAAATTCGCCACAGAAGCTATAGCTAATAGCAAGAAGCTAATTACAGGAGCTTTAAACTTGGAAAGGTTTTTAAACTTGGTAAGATGAGGAATTATGAAGTCATACATAATTTTATGCAAAACTGGAATCTAGTAGGTTGAAGAACAGACCAAAATAAATAAAAACAGGAAACAGTTTGACAGTACAGTGTATGTAGAGTTTAATTTACAGGTATTATCAGCTCCAGTATATGATTACAGGATTTAAAAAAAAAAAAAAACATATTAATCTATAATAACAGTTTACCAGGGATATTTTATAGGTGTATCAGCTCTCTGTAACATGGAGAATTATAGTCCTACTCACGTCTATTGAGAAATCTAAAGTACACAAATGTGGCTAATTAGAATTAGCAAAGAAAAAAAAAATGAAATGAGGTTAAGGTTTAAGCTTTTTTGTGAGCTATGGGTTTCATTAAACCTGCTGTAATTAAAGTTGTCCGTATCGAGGACACGTTAACGACTATTCCAAAGCAAGGACACGGAATATTATCCACGGATCGGATCGTATTATTATATCCTCCTCTCTTAACTGGGATTAGGGTACAGGAGTAAAAATGCACTGAGTCTGTTCATCCTGCACCAAACGTTTCCGATTTTCAAAATGTGTTTGTAAAAAAATTACACAGAAATCATCACACATCTACACGGGAGAGTCTGATCCTAGCCGGGTCAGGCACACATGAAAATGAAAATCCCTTTCATCAGATGTTACAGCGCCTGAACAACAAATATAACTGAAAAGTATCACAAATCATTTCAGGACCATTGCATTAAAAGAGCTACGTTTTTCTAGTTAACAGAAAATCTGAAGGCGAGTGGATATTTGGCAAGTGTAATCAGGAACTCTTTACTTGACCCCTGTGTCATAAGACTGGAATAACCATGTCATAAACATGTCACAGTAAACATCCTGTACAGTCAGGAGTTCTTGACTAATAGGCATAACAGTTTTTTGAATTAATGACTGCTTGTCGCATGCTATTTTTGCCCGTGTTTGCTAATTAGCATATATTTAATGCCAGATGTTACAATATGTACTTATTATGAAAAACATCTGTCCTTATATTTCTGGAATTCTGATTGGTCAGAAGGTGTTGATTAATTCTGGAGGAGCTGGAAATCACGGCTTTATATTAATGTAATGCATTATCGTTTCTATAGCAACAGCTCATTCATTATGGCGTCACAATAGCAACGTTGTCTAAAATTTATGGAAGGAGTCTCCAGTGTCGGCGCTTTTGTAACAGTTAGAGGTAACGCTGCAACTTTTCTGACGTCTTCAAGACAAAGGGGTTTTCCGCCGAGGATGCCGCAATTTCTTGGTAACGTGTCAAGCTGCGTTTTTTTTTATTTTTTTTTTATTACTTGTTTGGTTTTTTTTTTGTCCTATTAATTCTATAAGAAAGAAAGAAAAAGAGAGGGCGAGGGA